ATACGCATAGTGTTTTGATTGATAAGGCATACATGGGCAAGTTGGAAGATACAGCCGCTAGAAGGGAAATGATCATCCAAAATGAAAAGCCAACAGCAAACAGTCCATCCAGATCATCAACAAAACTAGTGGGCGTCACGTCACTGGGGGCGGGGCGTCACGCGGGTCCTGCTCAGCAACCACAGCACCTTTCGCCGTGGGGGCCACACATCGCTTCCTTGGCAGCCAAGTAATTGCTCCGTGTGGCGCAGGTTCTCCCCCGATGCGAAAATTCCTTATCGTAATCGCTTCCTTTAAAATGAAAAGGAAGTACATAGCAAATTAAGCCAGACCTGGTCAGTGATGCCCGAGAGGCAAGAAAAGCTGCTCAAAACCCGAGAAATGAGATACGTTTCCTTGCCCATTAATTTCCGCATTGATGCGACTCTCATCGATGCCGCCCTCTTCAACGCTAACGCTCTCTCACTTTGCTACACGGCGACGGTCAGAAAGCGAGAGGGCGGCGTTCCGGAAATTCGCATGAGGATACTTCCCGCGGAACAGGGAAGGCAATGCTAGATCGCCGGGGCATATCTTCATGCACAGGAACATGGGGCATGGGTGGAGACTGCCTCTAAAAAGCTAGCCTATTGAAGAAATTATTAGCAGCTTCAGGCCGGAGCGATTACGGTAAGCCTCGTTGAGCTCGACGGTGACGGCAGATGACGTCATATTCTGAAGACGGTGGGGGCAGTGAAGGGGGGCCTGCTTCTGTTTATGGGGGGACATCTGAGGACTATTTGCCGTTGAACGTTCATAAGCAGCGGCATCCTATGCGACGATGAGTTTGGTAATGTGCGCCATGAGCTAAGTGACTTTACTGATATTGATGTAGTTTCTTTCTGTTGATGTTAGGAAGCGGAAGATCTCAAAGGCGAATTCCGCCAGATCACACAAAACACACGCACATAACCACCGCCGGGTCCCGCTTATTCATCGCTCAGGAAAAGGACTTATTGTTAAACTTTTTAGGAGCTCGAATGGAGATCTCCCTAGTATTGCTCTTGATATGTGCGTTATATATAATATACATGCTCATTAGATGGTTCTTGGAGCGCTACGAGATCGATCGACGACTTGGAGAAAAAAGCGGTTCTTATTACCGGATGCGACAGTGGTGAGTCATATTTTTAGACTGTTTTTATGGCGGCACTTTTCTGGTGTCTATAGTGAATTTTACTCTGTACAAGTTCCCTGAAAATTATCATAGTTCATTATCGAAGGATTCACTGCGGGACCGCCTGGTTCACTATACCGTTTCACCCCTTCACACGTGACTTAAACCTGATATAATTGCTACCATGCTATTGGGACTGATTTGACCTCGTTTTCACATTCCATAATGTATACATCCGGGGTAAACGGTTCACAGAAGATAATTATTGGAGCTGCTTGGCAGAAATTCTTCCCGGAAGAACCAATATTTCTACTTCACCTATAAGTCACTCTGCTTAGAACTCTCGCCTTAAAGTACGATAATACGAAGAAAAAATTGCGTAAAACGTGTGTTTCGTAAATAATGCGAAAAACCTCCAAGGATTGCCACGCCGCGATCAAGTTCCGGCAATTAAATGAATGAAAAAACATCAAATAGCACTTGAAGGTTCAAAGCAGCCGCTCTCATCGTATGGTGAGAATTTGCCCCCGAATCCCACTGAGATCTCATTGGTTAGTCTGTTTTCTGATACGGTAAAATACAGTAAAACACGGATAAGAGATTGGCCAACCAATGAATTCCCGTAGGGTCGCAGCGCAAAACCTATACCTGCGATCGGCGCGCAGTGTAATTTAAAGGGTTTTAGGCAGTTTTTTTTTTCCTTCTATTTATCACTGATAAATCAATAACCACAATTGCTTTTATTCTCGCACACAGTAACCTAAACTTATTAGATCGCAGAACGCGTCCTCAAAGTGGTAACAATAGTAATAGCTATTGCTATTGGAATTGGCTATCCTCAACATTTTTCAGTGAAATGGAAGGCCAAGAGTTCTCGGCACTGATCAGTTCCTTTTTTTTGGGAACGCCACGCATTCTCAGCTCCTTCCCATAGCGAATTCGTAAGTGGCCTTTGAAAGATATAACCTTAGGAAGTCTTCCGATAATCCAAGTAATTCAAAATCCTGCTTTTGACTCAGCCGTGTTCCCTTTACAAAGAAAAAGGCGAATTAGGGCAGCATATTTCTTCTTATTTCAGGGTTCGGCCGAGCTCTTGCCCTTCGTTGCGCTGAGAAAGCAATGCCTGTGTTCGCAGAGGTTTGTATCGTAAGTGAGGTTCAGTGATTTCTCGCTTTCCGCCATTTTTGAAATTTGGGTTTGTTTGACAGGAGGCTTAAGGTCCGAGGTCGATGAGGGGAAATTTCACCCTCGTGGAGGGCAGACAGTTGTTAAGGATGACCGGTGCAGCAGGTGCTCCTCTTCGTCGTTGCTGGGCCTTGTTCATTAGCGGAATGCAACGCACAGAAAGGGTCCATTTCTCGGTTACTAGGTTTCCTCCCATCTGTCTTCATGACGTACCCTAATTAACTGCAATTCAATTCTTGTTATAGTTGTGTAGATAGAAAGATGCTGATGGTAACTGCAGTACGTTGTTGGAGTACCGTATTCTCCACCCGAACATGGCAGATGAGGCGTACCGTGTTGGCCGCATGCACGCGGTAAAGTGAATTTGGCAACCCACAATCAACGCGCTGGATACTCATGGCGCAGCGAAGAAAGCCTCTTGAAAACGCCACGGTAAACCCTAACTGCGCCCATTGCTATTACATTTAGCGTCCAGAAGGCAGCCCAATTAGAAGTTAAGGTGGTAACCTTTGAGTTCTGCTGTCCTTCGAAGTTATTACGTTTCCCTCCTCCTACCTTCGACCTTATCGTGAATCCTCCTTTTATTTCAAATCGCTAATTTTTACTCGCGCCACATTTTCCAGTCCATTCGAGGAACTTCGAGAGCTATCGAAAAACTGCAGGACTCCTATTGACGCATTTCTTATGGACGTCTCAAGTGATCAAAGTGTAACAGAAGCCGAAAAAATACCTAGAGTCCCGGACTGTCAAATTCGGCGGTGAGTCTTTCCTTTGGATTAATCACTTGATTTTTTCAGAAGGGGAAGAATCAGTGACCATAGTAAGTGAAATCGAATGAGTGTATGAGAGTAAAAGTGTTTGCTCAGGTTTACACGGTCTGGTGAACAACGCTGGCATACTGGGCAAAGAGTTCTTCGACGACTTTTTGACAGTAGACGACTACAAGGCGGTGGCTGAAGTGAACGCATGGGGCGTGATTCGAGTCACACAAGCGAATGAAGCCCCTAGTGAAAAAAGTGAGGTTGGTGTACTTCAGAAATGGCGACTATGCTTTTACAAATTCTCAACTCATCAAAATCCTTCATCAAATGCTCCATGAGCTCATCCCTCCTTATTTAGACTGTTTTATAAACTATGTACGCAAAGCGTTAAAGCAACAGTCCAGGCAGGGTTTCAACTACTTGGTCATTAGGCGGTCAAAACATGCCCCAGCCCAACTAAAGTTTATAGGAAATGTCTTTAAGTTCAAAACCTACCTCTAAAATGCGCTGGAAGGGGTCGAAGTCCTCTTGGAGGGGGCGGATCACCCATAAAGAGGCGGATCGCCCAACATACGCTGTGCAGAGTCCGCGCTTGACTAGCGGTCGTTGCGGGACCGCCGCGCTGTATGAGGTCGATTCCATAAGAACGCAATTGAAGCGCTTCAATTTCGATTGCTGGCAAATAGTTATGTATTTGCAAGCATGCAGCTATTTGCCAGCAGTTGCAATTAAAGCGCATGTACTACGGGCAGGTTCGGACAACTCGTCCAACACACGTCTCCCTAAACGGCAGGGCATGTCCCTGTCTAAGCCCCAGTTGGGCGTTTTCTTCACTTTTTCTCTTTACGTTCGACCACTTTTCACCTACAACTTCCATATAGGTGCTTTTGGCCCGCAAATTCGTTCCTGGACTGTTGCTTTAACTGGTTCAATAACTCTCATTCGATGATGATCCTCCTCCGCGTAAATGGTGTTTCTTGAAATTTCACTGTGAATAGCACGTTCCTGCTCAGGTCAGGGGATGTTTTCATAAATCGAGAAGTGTTCTCATCGTCTGCAAACGGTGTGCCCGCTCCTAGACACTCGACCTTCAGCCAGGATCGGTCCGATCGTTGGTACGTTTGCAAAATTTTTCTTACGACGAAGTAGGACACTCCCCCGGGGGGGGGGGTGGGGGTATACAACCATCATAAAACCGCAAAATTTCCCTGTATTTCCATTTATTTCCTTCATGTTCCTTCTTTTTCACTTATGTTTCCACTGCTCCTATTTCCCTTCATTTTCCCTCTTTTTCACCTATATTTCCACTGATCCCTTTCCACGGCAAATTTTTCCCGCGCGCTCTCACCTTATCACATGTAATTTCCTGCTACCGAAACCCCCACAAACTTCAACAAACTACGACCCCCCCATTGGTACTTGTAGCAACGTAGGGTTGACCCTGCCTTCAGCCGAGCTGCTCATACCACCACGCTCCCTCTAAGCACCCGTCGGGAGGAGCAGCCCACCCTCCGGGAACACAGGGGCGCCCGCCTGCAGCTCAACCTACCCACTAGTGTCCGGCCGACCGACCTTGTTGAAACCACTCTACTAACCCTGATGAACACCTAACAACAATCAGATATGAATTAGGGTTAACCCACATGTAGATTTATTTATTAATATTAGAACAATGGCCATATATATTTACGCACATTTATCATAAGTACACCGCACCATCTCTCGAGACCTCTGACTCACGCAGGTGAGCCCCTCAGCTAGTACGATAGGTAACCCACCTCGTGGCTCGAAATCTTCTGGAGGCTCCATACGGCCGACGTGTCCTATCTGAGTGTTGGGCTGCTCCCATACGGGGAGGAGGGCGGACACGACCGGATTTGGGATAAACACGCTCCACCAGCTTGAATTCCGGGGCGACGGTGCCCTCCGCCTTAGACTAGGCCTCATACACGTTCCCGGTGGCATAGCTAGAAGTATTTTTAGATTTATACGGCCGCAAGTCCTCATCGCCTCCACCAGAGCCTGAAAACCCAAAGACAAATGCAATTTACCCTCCCTCCCGAGCACCTTCAAACTTCCCTTTATATGTCATAAGCCCTATAAACCCAATGTTTCTAGAAGTCACAGGACGCCTGGACCCACACTAAAAACGATCGGACTGGTGTGGATCACCACTGCTCTGACTCACAGGAACGAATCACATGACCTGGCCCATCTCCATGCCATGAATTGAAATGGCAAACGAAGTCCATAAAGGTCAAAAATCTCATTCTCTTATATCATTTGGACAAGGCATTCGCCGTTCCTGTTCATTTAACGTATTCCTGAAGAGTCCTGCGCGCAGAAGTAAGGGGTTTTCGTAGCATATTCTTAACTACGACGTCGAATCCTGCCTTCATGGAGCGAATGAAGTAAGCTCAAAGGGGTTCACAGCTTTGCCCGATTTGAAAGGTGCTCCTTGACCCTCGAGCACAGAAGTCGCCCTCTCCGATATATTCATTCCCACGTAGCCTGCATGAGATCAGGTAGATCACACTTGACGTCATGCAGCCACCCTCCCGCCCATTAGGACAGATAACACAATGGGGTGAGGAAGGTGCGATCGTACCAGCTGCTGTTGAGGTTTGTCGAAGGGTAGTTATTTCAGCCAGACTGCAGATCAGTACCAATAATGTGTGAATAAAGTGTGCTGTGCCACTTACCACTAGGGATTTATCACCGCCCTATGCTTTGTTCTTTTATCCTTTAATTATTGTGGAGTAAAATCAAAACATTTGAAAGTATTTCGGCAACAGCGGAACAAATAGCATGTATAGTTTGTCCTTAGAATGGCTGGATGAGTTATTACAAGAATGCTGTGTTGTGGACAAAGCTTTCGTCCCAGCCGGGTGGAAATGGTTCCCTGGTGGTGTAATTGATAGCGCAATTACTCGGTGAGCAAGGGATCAGGGTAGGCATCCCTGCTAGAGCGTAAGTTTTGCCCTTAACTCGCATTCTTGCGTCAACTTTCGCAACACGAACTACAAGCTACAAGAAAGCCATCATCTTGAAATTCTCCCTATGATTTATAAAAATCTATCATGTTTGCAACAAGATATTTAACCCTGATTCTTGCAGAGGCCGTATTGTGACAATTACAAGTATATGTTCACGTATTGGCATTATGGGCATCGGACCGTACACTACGGCAAAATTTGCCGTAACTGGATACTGTGATGTTATCAGGTAGTTTTCGTTAATGATTTTGTCCGCGCATTCCATGAATCGATGAATAATCGTAGACAGGAGATGCGGCTGTTCGGTGTTTCGGTGCACGTAATAGAACCAGGATTCTTCAAAACAACTCTCATTAGTCCTGAAAACGTAGACGTGAGTTACCCTATCAACTTTGTACTGGATAATGGGCGAGCGTAAAGATTACAGAAGCAGCTTATGTCTATGTATGAGAGTTGTCCAGATGACGCGAAACGTGAGTATGGCCACCAGTTTTTCATGGAAAGTGAGTTGCTTGTCGTGGTTCCATTTGAGTTTACATTTGAAAGCTGCTTGTAACTGCAATTGACAAATTTGAATTGTGAAGAAGTGCAGTTTGGGGAATAGAATGGGGAATGGCACCATTCACGAAAATATAAAGCAGTAGAGTGTATGAAATTGAAAATAGCGAGAACTGCAATTAAAGGCATGCCCCAGGATCACACTGGTGTGGCTCTTGCACACGAATGTGAATGTATGGTGCCAAGTGGGCCGGCAGTAAAGAAAAAAGGAAAAGAATCCGTCGAAAACGCTCAGGTTGAGGGCTCACTCACCTTCCTAATCGGCTGTGCTAAAGGAACGAGAGACTAGCCGCACATACAAGCGTACGATTAGTCAGCTTACATTAATTGTCCTCCGCCTCAGTTAGTAACGGGACAAGTACGAGACGATGCAGGACTTCGAATCACAATCAGTAGAATAGTTTGGGATTTTCTTCAGAACCTAGAAGTGTAATGCTGGGATTCGAAAATGACATTTGTGGAGGGAAGACCCTACTCTATTTATTAGGGGACTCGTGCTTGTGAAGCTTTTTCCTCCATTCGTTTGCTATTTGCGAGACATGCTTGTGACGATTACTTGAAATTTAAAACTTAGCCATTATGCTTCTGCAACCCATCACGGTCGCTCAGGCTGGTGCCCTAGTCTGCGATAAGTCGCGCGCTTCGCGCCAATCGCAGGAATCGGAAGTACCCCAATTGTAGATTCGAAACACTGAACATGAAACAAGTAGAGTCATGAACAATCGTCATTAATCCATCACCATCAAGCAGAAATGGCGGCGGGATTGGAGAGCACCGAGGATCAGAGTATTGATCGGACACTTGGGATTTCTGTGATCCGTCGTGCTATTCGCGCGACGGATCGCGGACTCTGACACCAGCCTTAGACAGGGACTTTATCATTAGAAAAATGGGATTTGGACCGACATCTTTAAAAACTTGATGCTAGAGTATGCGTAACGCAATCCTTTTACGTATGCTTTTTTTGGCTAACAGTAGTCATGGAGTAGTGAAAAGAAATGCAGTAATACTGGCACATTACACTGGGATTGGGACGGTTAGTGAATATTGGAATTCAGTAGTATTCAGAGAAAGCTCTGCTGCATCTCGCAGGCGGACGA